CGCCCTGCCCTCCCTTTTAGACTGACATTTTCTTCATTTTTTGTCTGTAGCTATAATTCATATATATGGCAGATTAAGGCTTTCTTTTGCGGTTGCTTAAATTAATCATTAGTTAAAATAAAGACCAATGCATTTTGCACTAAAAGAACATACTTTTAGCAACCAAAAATCCCAAACTGTGTCGACATTTAAAAAAAAAAAAAAAAATCCAATTTAAATTTAAAAAATCTTGATTTAAATATAAAAAATCACCAACCCTGGCTGTGTTATAAGTGAATACAGTCAAAACCTTTTTAGTAGGCCCTACAATGTAGTTTTTTTTACGGCACTTGCAACACAATAAGGAATAAGGTTATATAAGTGCCGTAGATTTAGAGTTCAAGTTTTAGTGGAGGTTTTATGGCACTCGCAACTGCTTAAGGTCATGTGAGCGCCAGAAGATTAGGTGTTACAAGAGAGTAACAAACATAAAAAAGAAGGTGGGGAGATAAGGATGATAGATGTTCCATAGGAAAGAAGCAAAACCACACCAGAGCACCCGCCAACCACCCAGTCAACACCTTGTACCGCCAGGTTTTGCCAATGTATGAAAAGGAGTGCCTATTTACGAGAAACCTACTCTAAAATCGATTTCTTGGGACCACCAAGGGATCTTTAACTTTAAGATCCGCAACTTGCACAAGGGACCTAAGAGATTACTCGGCCTTATGTCCAAGAATGCAAGGTGTTCCATCCTACCCTAGAATCAGGGGTGTGGCTGAAAGACAACAGTAAGAAGGAGCCAGGAGAAAAGAAAGGAGCCCAAAAGAGGGAAAGGGAGTGGTGATGAAAGCAGAATGGTAAAAGAAGACAAGAAAACATGGAAGTGGGCGGTGAAAGGAAACACTTTTCCTTTTAGAGATTCTATGTTGCTGTCAGTCAAGTTGCGAACCTGTGACCTATTGAGCGAAAGGTCAACACTGTACCTCTAGATCACGAGAGCCACCTTTTTATTTAATAATTTATAGAAGCTATAACAAACAACTCGTGTGAAGACAAACAAAACCAACTCAAGATCAGGGCTATAGTGTCACAGGCAACTTTATTATTAGCCTTCTCAGTTTCACCTCCATCTACCTCACAAGGTTTCATTTCTCAAATTGAGTCCCAAGTTTAGATCATCTGCTTGACCAGGGCATCAATCTTGGTATCCCTGAAGCCGTAGTCACCACCGTCGTTGAAGTGGTTGTACTTGCGTCGCCAGCCGCCCAGAGGGGAGGACAGCTTGAAGGGCCACAGGAAGTTGGAGGCGTACTTGAAGTTGGAGCCCACGGTGAACACCTCGTGGATCAGGTCCTCCATACAGATGATGTTCTTGGCACCTGTGGGGGGAGTCAAAAGGCTGGGTTTACGGATCAATTTTACAGAATTTGCAACACAATTTTAAAAATTCAATGGCAACAAGGCTAGAAGGTGACCGAGAAAGAGCTGGATAGATGGAGTCGAGGAAACACTAACAACTCACGGCATCCCCCTGACCCAAGCTCTCCGGCTGGAGGCAGAGAAGAAGTTGCTTTCTTCCCGCGACACCCAAAAGGGTATATAAGCGGCGGATCAAAAACAAAACAAAGAAACACAATTAGACAAGGCACGGGCCAAAGATTAGATGTGTTACACGATACTATCGAACACACACACACACAAAAAGGAAGAGATAAGGACTATTTTTTTATAGGAAAGAAAGAGCAAACCATACAAGAGCACCTGCCAACTGCCCACAACCAATTGACAAATGGTAACACATTAGCTAAAAATCCAAATAATTTAAAACATTCAGATTTCCAGATTAACCCGGAAAATTGGCACCTGATGACCACTCCTCATTCTTCAGAACATTTCAATTGTTTGAAAGTAAGAAAAGACAGGCACATTGACAGCTACACCATTTAGTGTTGGGGAAAAAAATTAGCCACAGGACCAAAAGAGGTAAAAAACAGAAGTAGGACTTGCTAGTGGCCGCCTCCGACCATCCACGGAACGTTTCAAGCAAGATGGAAAAAGAAGACAGCAGGTTCATATAAATGCAATATGTAATTCACCACGCACGCACCAACATTTTTTATGGAAAACATTTTAACGTACTTAACAAACAGCATCAAAGCCATGTGATAGCAAACACTTCAGACTATGACTAAAGCTGCACTATGATTACGAATGTTATTGACCTAGAAAATGAAAAGCCTTGTATGCTAATGTCCCCACCATAATAACAACCAAAATGCAGAGTGCATAGAGGCCGGAATAGTGATGGGAGGACAATGTTGCAAGATTAAAAATTGAACTGAATCAATGGAGGACCCAGCACAGAGTGTTACTTGCAATGT